CGGGCGCGCACACCCCACGCTCCCGGCGGGGACTGCGCTCACCGGCCGCCGCCCGCAGGTCTCTTCCGCGGCCCCGACCGGTGCTGCCGGGAGCACGACCAGTGCTCGGCGCAGATCACGGCGCTGCAGTTCAACTACGGTATCCGCAACTACCGCCTGCACACCGTCTCTCACTGCGACTGCGACGCTAGGTGCGCCGGGGGCCAGGCCGAGGGCGGGTGGGCACACCGGGGGCCGCCGGGCCTCTCACCGCCCCCGTCTGCCCCGCAGGTTCCGGCAGTGCCTGCTGGCTCTCAACGACACCATCTCCAACATCATCGGCGTCACCTTCTTCAACCTGCTGGAGGTGCCGTGCTTCGTACTGGAGGAGAGTGAGGAGTGCATCCAGTGGCACTGGTGGGGAGGGTGAGTGCCCCGAGGATGCCCTCTCATCTCAGTCTGCTGCTGTGGCCCCCGGCACGCTCTGCCTGGCTACCCTGCTGGCTGCAGCAGAGCACAGCTGGGGCTGGTGTGCAGGGCCTCATGGTCCATGGTGTCCTCAGGTGTGAGCGTTACGGTGTAGTACCCCTGGCCAGGATGGTGCAGCAGAATCAGTACCACTACAGCCCACCCATGCAGGAGGTGGGCAGCTCTGCTGTGCAGCCCCCAGGCAAAGGAAAGAAGTCTTCTAGAACAGGGCGCAAACAGCTTCGACAAAGACTGGGGCAAAACCCCAGGCTCCGCCAGGCACAGAGACCTGCATCTACCAGAGACAAGGCTGAGCCCGCAACCAGGCACCCAGCAGCACAGTGGGGGCTGGAGCCTGGCCCCCCAACAGAAATGACCGTGTTGGAACAGGACCTTGCTGGAGGAAAGCGAGTGCCTGCAGGAACACAGCACAGGGCTGGGGGCTCAGCACACCCTGCCTGCACTCAGGATGGCAGCATCAGATCCAGACTGGCCCCAGCACGCTGTGGAGACACCCCTCTGCCTGACATGGACATGCGCAGGCAGCATGGTGAGTCGGTGCTGGGGGCAGAGCATGCGCTGCTGCTGGGGTGTCGTAAGGCCTCAGCCCCGTGGGGCTGTGTGCTGGCAGAGCCCCTCACCACCCCACTGTCTTCAGGCCCTCGCAGGGTGTGCAGGTACTACAAGCACCTGGATAAGTGCGAGCACCACATTGCCCCCAATGAGGTGAAGTACCAGCTGCACAACACAGGCACGCAGATGCTATTCCACTGCAACTGCACTCACAGGTGCATGTCTGGAGGAAAAGGCAGGGCTTTTCCCACCATTCCAGAGCACTGTGTGTGGACAGTTTGGGGTCAGATGAGGTGGGCCCCAGTGGGATGCCCACCCTGGGCAGCAGCTGCTGACTACTGCCCTCTCGTGCCCACAGGCTGGCACGGTCCCTGCACAGGGCAAGGAACCTCAGTGACGTGGAGGTGGCTGTCCTGGCTGACCATATCACCACGGACTGCTTTGTTCTGGAGCCACCCGCTGACTGCAGCCCAGGCAAGGGGCCACAGCACAAGTAAGTGTCAAGGGAATGTGACCTGCATCAGGCTTCCTACCCTGTGTGGGTGGGCAGGAGGGATTCCCTGGTGGGGCTGGGTGCTGTCCTGCAGGCTTGGCATAAAGCTGGCAGTGCAAGCATTATCACCTGTGCTGCTGTGTCCTGAGCAGTGCTGGGGTGGAATTCAATGGATGTCAGTCTGCAGCATTACACTGATGTTCATAGCTGTGCTTCTCTGGCAGCTGTAATGCAGTGACCCGGGCTCTGCTAGTACCTGCACGGCATCTCAAAAAGACCCTGAGGCACTGGGGTCTTCCACATGCAACCTCCAAGGCCAAGCTTCCAGACTGGAAGACACAGGACAGTGATAATACCCTCTATGAGCGATGCCTGCGGCTGGTCTTGGAGCAGAAGCCAGCAGTTCAGCACCATGCAGTGCTCCAATGATGCCCAAGAAGCACTGCCTTGCATGGGGAGGAAGACATGCTGTACAGCAGCCACAAAGTGGAGCTGTGTGATTTCTGGTACTTGAGACAAAGGATGGCACCGAGCATGGCTGCTAATGTGACTGCATGGAGCTGGGGTTCACAGCTGGAGCAGGGGCAGGCAGAGGGACAGAGAAGCCTCTCAAGGCACTGCAGCTGCAGGGGAGGGCTATGGCTGCCACCCATGAGCACCAAAGCAAGGGGAAAGGAACATGAGGGCTTGAGAAAGGAGAAACCCAGGATCTTCCTTGCCTGTTGTGCCAGGAAGGGATCGCAAGACCCTCCCCCCCGCCCTGGATTTGTGCCTTTTCAGCTAGGGGCTGGGGGGAGGGGAGCCCTGTGGTATGATCCTGGCCCCCTTCCCCAGGCAGGATGGGAGGGGTGCAGGGAGGGCTGGGGTCTGCACTGGCTCCCAGCCTTAGAGCAAGGTAGGGGGCAGGGAGGGCCAGGGCTGCATGTGCAGCAGAATATGAATAAAAGGTGGTCTGAGCATGGTGTGTGATGCCAGCGCTGAGCCTGCTGCCCCTGTTCACCCTGCAGCCCCCACCCCAGGGATCCTGCCCCCCTGCAGTAAGCACAGTGCAGCTGGGGTGGGCCAGGATGGTTTATTTTGTCATTTGCACTACATCCAAGGCTGAGGCACAATGGAGGCAACAGGGAAGGAGCAAGCTTTGATCTGATCTCAGGGGTACCCTGGAGTGGGTCTTCACTTTATGCCCATCACTATTGCCACCAGAACCTTGGCCTGGCTTCCTGCCCCACCTTGGGTGCAAGGCCAGCATTTCTCCCATAGGGCTGAAGGGTTTTGCACTTTGAGTTTCACAATGGGCTCCCCACCACCACACTAGATCAGCCTTGCCCCCCCACCATGCCACTTCCCAGCCCAGCATCTCAGGCTACGGGGAGCAGTGGGAGGCCCCTACCTGCCAGGCACACAACAGGGTGAGGAGTCACTGCAATAAATAAGGGAGGGGCATCTCAGCAGGAAAGTGGCAAAGGAAAGCGCACAGCAAGGGTGCTACAGGGAAGAGGGAAGGGGGCCACTGCATCAGTCGCCCATGGCACAGTTATGGGTGTCCAGCTCCTGAGGGCTGCTCTCCTCCTTTGGGGAGGTACTGCAGCCTGGGGGGCTGGTGGGACTCATCCTCCGGCAGGGGTAGCCCTGGTCTGCACTCTCCCTCCGTCGGCCCAGAGCCTGGTCAATCATCTCCAGGCGGAGCGCTGGCAGCAGGCCCAGGTTCCTGGGGTCAGCCCTGGCCAAGGGGTTGTCAGCAGAGACACGCCAGGGGCCACCCCACTCCCGCACAGTCTGGTAGAAGGAGCTGCCCTCCAGGCTGTCAGCTGCCCGCTCTGGCTCCTTGGCTTTGGCTGCACGGCACCCCAGCTCCTCCTGGGGCAGGTGGATGGTGGGAATGTCCCCGGGGAGGCCTCGGCGGCTCTGGGGTGAAGGGCTGCGGCTTGTACCCCTATCCCTGCTTGATGGCCGCAGGATGAGGCCCTGGAACTTGGCCAGGCTGGGACTTCGGCTTCGGTGCCGTTTCATCTTGCCTGGGCTGGGGCTACGGGATTTGGGGGCCAGTAGGACAAGTGTGCTGTCATCCTCCTCTTCTGAGCTGCTGCCTGAGCTGTCCGTGGGACTGCTGCCCTCCTCCGACCTGGGCAGGGAGATCTGCACCCCAGCATCAGCACTGCTGGCTGATCCACACAGAGGGCTGTGGGACACCCCTACACCCTGCCTCCCTCAGACCCTCACCCTTGGCTATGCTGACCTGGAAGGGCTCGGTCACGCCAGCGATGCTGCTGGAGGTGTTGCTGTAGTATCCAAGGATGTACTCGCCCTTCTCCTTGGGCAGCGCCTCCTCTGAGAACATCACCTGCAGCCCAGAGACAGCTGATGGGCACCAGGGCTGAGCACAGAGGTGCCCCCCAGCCCCAGCTGAGAGCAGAAATCCCTGATGCCAGCACAGTGGGCCTATCCAAGGCTCAGCACAAAGCAATAAGGAACTGCCCTCCTGCCCCATCAGGGGCACATGCCCAATGAGACAGCAGGGCTGGCTCCAGCTCACCTGTGCACACATTTGCTTCTCCAGACAGCGCTCTCCATCATCGGTCCTGGCCCAGACATAGGACACATAGTCTTTAGGATGCCGAAAACCCACCTATGTGCAGGTACATGAAAGAGAGAACACAGGTAAATGGGGGAACATCAGCCCTGCTCACTGCCATCAGCCACACCTGGCCTTTGCTCTCCTCTCACTCAGCCCCCTCTTCTCGCACAAGGGCACCAAGAGCTACCTTGCACCCACCCTGTGGGTGCCCTGGCCCCCAGCTCTGGGGAGTGCCAGGCTTTGAACCCTGTGGGGCCTACAAAGCAAGAGGAAACTGCTGGATCTAAGCCTCCTGAAGCAGGGCCGAATCCTACTGCTCCCATGGGACAGGAGAACACAGAGCACGTGTCCGTGCCATGCACCTGTGTCCACTGGCAGAGGATAGCTCAGAAGGGACCCCACGGTGCTGTGCAGTGCTTCCCACCCCCTCCAGCCCCCAAGCCCCTACCCGGTAGAGTCCTATCCAGTCCCAGGAGCTCCGGTGGAAGCCAGCAGCCATCTTGTACCTGACAACAGCTTGCTCAGGCCTGCTCCATTCATCAGCCACATAAATCTCAACTGGAGGCTTGTCTGCCTTGGAAGCAAACTGCAGAGACACATACACAGTGAACAAGGGCATGCCAAGGAGAACTGCCCCCGCTGCCCAGGGCGCCCATTTAGGACTGGGCCCTCAGGCATACACCAACAGCAGCCCCCAGCCACAGTGGCAAAACAGTCAAGCTTAGCCAAAAAAAACCAAACCAAACCAAAAACACAAACCACACACAACCCACACACCCCACCACACACTAGCAGGGCTTCTCACCCCTGTAGCTCCTGCCTGTGTGCCCCATGGCAATGGGCAGTGCTCACCTGCACCGCAAAGATGGCAGCTACCGGCTTGTGGTCACTGATGGTGTACTCCATGTGGCTGCAGTAGCAGAGCTGGCTCACTGACACAACACCCCGGCTGGGCCGGCGCCCACCCGCACCAAGACTGACACTGGGAGATTTGATCTTCCAGAGGATGCGGTCAGTCCAGGCAGGTTTTCGCTTCTTGGCACTGCAGGGCACAGAGGGGCATCTCTTGCCTGGCAGGGGGCAGTGGGCTCCACCCCAAACTGCCTCCCCCTAGTACTACAGCACCCACAGGCAGGGAATGTGGTTCATCTCAGCACACAGTTCAGTGTGGCTGCAGGGCAATACCTGTGCTGGCACCAGAACAACAGTGGTGTTCCAGACTGCCATCCCCAGAACATGCCCCAACATGGCTTCCCCATTCATCCACACTGGCACCAGCCACTGCCCTGGCTCTGAGCCCCACCACTCTTGCATCCTTTGGCCATGCCACCAGCTCCCAGGCCCAGCACACGCTTGAGCTCTGCTCTCCTACCTGCTGTCATACTTGTTGGTGCCCACATCAAACTTGAAGGTGGGTGGAAAGTTCAGGGGTCCCTCCTGAAAGCCACTGAGGACAGACCAGGTGCTCTTGGCAATGTTCAGCTGTGGGAAAGAGAGCAGGTTGGGGAGCACACCAGACCCCATGGCCAGACCCCTCTGTAAGCCCCCCACCCCAGACCTCTTCAACCCCAACACACAGTCAACCCTGCCCCATTGCTGCCAGCTCCACAGAGCTCTTGGGGTTTGCCCGTGCCATGCAAGCAGCAAGCCTATAGATCCAACGGCCCAGCTTCTCCCAGCACACTGATAAAGGCAGCATGTGCTCAGCTCCCATACAGACTATCCTGGGACTGTTCTGCCTTTTCCCCACAGAGTCAGGACAGCAAGGGAACACAGCTCTGTCCCACAGCTGCATGTGCAGTTTTGGCAAGAGCCGAATGCCATTCAGAGCCCCACTAAGGCTCAAACAGCATGCACACCCCTCTCACCTGGTCCTTCTCCCAGAGCTGGCTCAGGATGTTGCTGTCGATAGCATACTTCACAAAGCGGATGTCAAGGCTCTCGATGCGGAAGTTGAGATCCCCAAACCAGAACACAAGGCTGTGGGTGGGAGGGAGGGCGACGGGATGGAAGGGCCAAGGCTACTGGAGCCAGGCAGCACAGCCAGGGGAAAAACATCCTCAGCCTGCAGCACAGGCACTCTCAAGAGCACCAGTGAAGGTCAGCACTCAGCCAACAGCCTGGCCAGCTGCCAGCCCTGCCAGGATTCCTCAGATAGGACCATGCACCATTAACCTAAGCCTGACCTCCCCGGTCAGAAATTGTGGGTGGAAACTTCCACCATAGGACACCTACCAGAGTCAGACCGCACAGCCAAGAGAATGGGGCAGAGCTGGGCCCCCCCCCACTTCAGCATTCCCAAAACCCAACAGTGCCAGTATGGCAGGAGCTGCAGCAGGCCTGGATGTGCTCCAGGGGAGACCAAGGACCCTTCTTAACACCTACCCCATCATGCTGGGTCCCCACTGGGCCACAGGACAATCTCGCAACTCTGCAGACAAGACCCCATCTCCAAGCTGTGCTGGGATTCAGGGGACAGACCCCAGACCCTACCTGGAGGCAGTCAAGGATGGGGGCTGGCACTAGAGCCCTGGCCCACATTGGGGAGCAAAGTGGTGGGGTACGCACTCATGGTCCAGGATGCCGCTGGCCGCATGACCCTCGAACTGCTGCATGTGCAGTATGGTGGCAAAGTCCTCCTTGCGCTGCTCTGTCTTCTCCAGGTGTGCTGGCAGGTGGCAGTTTAGGAAGCAGACCATGTGGCCGAAGATAGAGAGACGAATGCTCACCCCACCCTTGTTGCCCTGCACCGAGAGAATCCCATGACTCCTCAGGAAACCAACCCCTTGCCACCTCCCCCAGGGCCACACTCACCCAGTAGCCTCCCAGCCCCGTCCTCGTGCAGTCTGTCTGGATGTCCTGCAGGAAGGGGAGGTGGTAGTACTTGGCAAATACCAGTAGGATCACACCTTGCATCCGCACTGTGCTGATCTGGAATGACAGCAGAGGCTGAAGCAGAATGCTAGCCACAGCAGAGCCTGTAGAGACAGGGACAGCTTCCCCCGCCTCCAGGCCATAGGGGCAGCACCTCCATCCTTTGCGTGTCCCTCATCTTGCAGATGACTAACAGTTCAGAGATCTATGCACACCCTCCTGAATACTGACAGCTGAGAGAAGCCCAGCAAAGTTAAGGCTCGTGTACACTCTGGGGCAAGTGCCCTGGTACCAGCAGGCTGCTGCCAGAAGCACAGGCTTGTTCCCATATCCACCTCCTCGTGTTGGTACAGTGCAGAGGGCAACAAGAAGTGTCCCCAAAGCACAGGAAAAGGAGCAGGATGGCACACTGGTGAGATGCACTGCTAGCCCTTGGGTCAGGCCCCACATGCTCCTTGAATGGCTGCAGGCTGTCCCTCTGGCCAGTTGTCCCTCCAGCCGACTCTCCCACCACACCTCCTCCCTCCGTCCCTGCAGTCCAACTCTCCCTCCCCATGGTCCACCTGCCTGGCAGGCAGAGAGGGAACACCAGCTGCCCAATCCCTTTGGGACCTCCTTACCAGGACGAAGTGGAAAGGACTCAGTGCATCCATGAAGAGCTCACTCCATTGATCTGTGAAGAGGGCATCCTTCAGGCGCTTGTTTATCTTAGAGTTCACCTCTTGCAGCCTGCGAGGAAAGGGACAGGTCCCTCAGCCACATGAGAGAGGTGTCTGGATCCCAGCTAGCAGGAGCTCCTTGGGAGAGGGGACACAATGCTGGGGAGCTGGGCCAGAGCAGGAACAGCAGTTCAAGGGAGGACCCGAGTTTAGAGCACAAACCAGCCAGATTGTTTCTCCAGTGATACCAGGCCATGAGCTATAGCACAAGGCACAAGTGGCCTGGAACCCACGAGGCTTTGGCCCTTTTTAAAGCAGGAGCAGTTCAGCTGCACAGGGCTGAGCAGCCCTCTAGAGCCTACCTCTAGGTGCAAGAGGGGCTTACGGGGCATTTCAGCTGCACTGGTCTCTATAGAGAGGTCAAGTCTCACCAGTACCTCAGCTCAGGATGTCCAGACGCATCCTAGCCACCAGCCTCAGGGCGGCAACAAACAGAAGGTTAATAGTGCTCCTCCTGGCTCAGAAATTAGTAAGAAGAACAATATCCACAGAGAACAGCAGAATCAGGAGATGTCTTGCCTAAAAATATCAGGTGCTCAGGGCATAAAGACACTAGACTGTTAGAGGGAGGATGCAGCCAGGCAGAGACACCCTGGAGGTGGGGAACAGCAGGACACCGTGCCCCAGACAGAACACAGTCCCAGAAAGCCCCTCACTGTCAGCCACACCCCTTGCACCATCCATCCGGACTTCAGTCTACCTCCACAGCCCCAGACAGTCTCATCCTGTTGGTCCGTAAGGCTGAGTGCATGTCTGGAGGATGAGTGGATGTCTCCAACAGAGCACTGTAGCTTGGGCAGGCTCAGCCTTACACTGCTCTCTCCCCACAGAGAGGAACACTGGGAGAGTCCCCGGGAGCAGATCCAGCTCTTCCATCCTATGCCCACGGGCAGAGGCTGTTCTCACTCCCTGTACAAAGGCAGCATGTCCCTGGTCTTACCAGAAATCCACACAAACCACAGCAAACCTCGAGGGACCAGTTTGCCCTTAGACTCTGGCAGAGCTTGCCTCGCCAGCCACACCAGTAAAGCCTTACCACATCCACGCAGCACTGCCTTGACAGCAGTTAAGTATTTCCAGGGGCACAAAGCCAACCCAGCTGGGAGAGAACAGCAGATTTGTGCCTGTGAGGCATGCATACCACGGGGAAAAGCTGAGATGAGGAAAATGCTCCTGGAGGACTCCATCAGGTAAGTTAAATGCCTCTACAGATCTGACACCAGGACTCATGGCAAGAGCAGCACTCACCAAGGCCCAGCTCTGCACAGCACAGCCAGCTACAGGCCCTTAGAGGTTCAAGGCTACTCAGGATGCAAGTGTTTCAGTTCCTCATAGGACTCCCATTTTACTAGGGGCTGATTCTCCATCACCTTTTCTGGTATTTTATTGCTTGCGATGCACACCCCTCCCTGCTCACCATGACCCAGGGGACACTGGAGCTGTAACTCTTCCATTCCCCACCCTCCAAGGCTATGAGGATCCCAAAAAAAGGACATGACAGGGGCCTTGCACCTCACCCTCTTACCCAATGGCGATCATGTCCACATCATTTGTCTCGCCCGTGTTGAGGTGCAGCAGGGATGTCACATCATTCGGGGGCATGGCTGTGCCCACATTCCAGGTGACCACTGTGATGCTTGGGAGGACAAAGGAAGAACAGACTAACATTGGGGCTCAGAGGTCTTCCCCACCCACCCCCAAGGAAGCTTTCTGTCTGCAACAGAAGTGGACACAGCTGAAGCTCAGCTAGGGTACACCAGGTCCTTAACTCCCATATGAGGGAAACATGTCCTTGTGTCTAAATACCCCCAGGGTCTGCACCATGGCACATGGCAAGCCCTACTGTAACCCAAGCCCCAGTGAAATTCTAGAAATCAGCATAAAGAGCCCTCATATTCATCACCACCAACTGACACAGGCAGACTGGCACGGCAGGCAGCCTGCAAGACAGGGTGTCCCCAGAAAACTGCTTCCTCTACACTCCCCAGGAATCATGCATCCCTTGGGCTGCCGAGGAAAAAAATCCAGATCTCAGCCCCCCCAAACTCTGCCCCAAAGCACAGCCAGCCCCAAAGGCCAGGGCATGCGATGTCACAGCAGCACTGCAAGCCCCGCAGCAGTGTCCTTCACCACTGCAAAGCCACCATCAGTCACAACACTGATGGCACATTAATGCCATTACACAGCATGCGCCAGCAGCCCGCAGGCTCTTTCAGCAGTGCTAGGACAAGTCTCAGTCACAGGGTACACGTTTCAGCAACAAGGGCGCCACATCATTTCCAGAGCTCAGAGACAGCAGGGGCAGATGGCACCTGCTCCACAGCCTGTGCCTCTGCCCCACCACCCCACGTAGCACCTGCTCCCCTGAACACTACCTGTGCAGCACTGACAGCAGGCACTGGGCATCCTTCCCCCCCCATGAACCCTGCTCATCCATAGCCACTCACCCCAAATCTCCTCCAGCTGAACACCACAGGGAGAAAGGGGCAACTCCAGCTCACAAGAGGCTTCACTTGCTGCTTCACAGCAAGGGCAGCTTTGACCCACCATCACCCCCCCCACAGCAGTACCACTCACCAGAAGGAGCCATCCTCTGGGACCCTCCCCGAGCAGCTGAGTAGTGCGTCACAGGAGTCGCTGGGGCTTGGCAGGCCGAGGGACCTACTGAAGATGGAGAGCTCCTCCGGCTCCGGTTTGGAAAGGGCCGTAGGCTTGGACAGGCCCACCCGCCCGCCAGCGATGAACTCGCTGGAGACAGCTTTGGGCAGGCCGGTGGCCCTGGGCGAGGAACCGGCCCAGGCCGAGATGTGGTCGCTGGACTCCGCCTTGGGGAGCACCTCCCTCCGCTCGGTGGGCAGCGGCTTCCCGGGGGTGGCATGCTCCAGGGGGCCGAGCTCGGGGAAGGCAGGCCGGCCCGGCACCACCGGGGACAACACGGCGGGGCGGGCCGGCGGGACCCCCGGGCTGGGAGGCAGCAGGGCCGGCAGTGGGAAGGCGTGGGGCCCGGCGGCCCCCTCCGGTTGGGCCCGGCCGACCTCCAGCAGCAGGGGCTGGGCAGCTCGGCCCGTGGCCCGCTCCTCGGACCCGCCACGCTGCGCCTCCCCGGGCTGCGGGCAGATGTAGGGGAAGGGGTCGCAGGCAGCGTCTGACCGGGAGCTCCTGCGGGCGCCCGGTACGCCGCCGCTGAGGAATGGCGCCGCCGGGGCTCC